GAGGTCCCGGGAGAGGCAGGGCCCTACCCCGCTGCTACCACAGGGCACCCAGCAGGGTGGGGAGGGCGGGCTCTCACAGAGGGGACGGCATCATGTGATCTGGGCCAGCTAGCTTTCTCACTGGCAAGGTGAGGCTACTTCACTGCCTCCCCATAGGTGGTGTGTGGGGATAAAGGGGGATTCTGAGCTCCTGGGGAAACAGGGCTATTTAAATACAAAGTGTGGCTCATCAGCTTTTCTGCCTTGGCCTGAAGCAGTCTGTGTTCTGAGGGACTCTCCGGGGGCTCAGCGGTGCCCGGTACCACAGCCAGCTAGGTATACACCTGACTACACACACGCAAGGCTAGACCTCACCGCGTGCTCCACATCTACGCCTGGAGAGCCTCCTTCCCGCACGTGCCCCCACACCACTCACGCCCTTAGCACTGACACCCACCCTGGGGTTGCCACAGAGCAGAATATTCCTAAAGACCTCATCCCCCCAGATTCCTGAGCTTGAAACTGTTAAAATCAAGGAAGCACAAAGCTCCTCCCCTGGAAAACGGGAATTCGTTATAGAGTTCCACAATAGGAGCCATAAGAGAAAGCTAAGTCGGATAAGCTAACATTTCCCAACTTGAAACATCCACGGAGGTGGTTTTATACTCTGGTGAGCATACAAGGCACCTGGGAAGTGATTTCCTGACCCAACTTCCAGAAATCGAAACTTGATAAAACTGGCACGAAACCTAGGAATCTGCCTTTTAACAAGGACCCAAACGTGATTTTACTTATTTTAAAGATTTTTATCTACTTATTTGACAGACAGAGAGCGAGCGAGCATGAGCAGGGGGAGCGGCAGAGGAAGAGAGACAAGCAGTCTCCCTGTGGAGCAGGGAGCCTGATTTGGGACTCGATCCTAAGACCATGACCTGAGCCGAAGGCAGACGCTTAATGGACTGAGCCACCCAAGCGCCCCCCAAAAGTGATTCTAAAGCGAATTTCTAAGCTTGATGGCGCCTTGAGAAATGCTGGCCTAGGGACTGGAGAAGCAGCCATATCTAAAGTGGGATGCACATACCTCAGGAGCTCTGAACACGTCCATGGAGGTCATGCGGACAGTGGTGTGAACTCTGCGAATTGTTCCACTTACAGCTGATTCTTCTTGTACTTTTCCCATCCTCATGGGGTTTCACCTGGAATGACATTCCAAGTGACCCCATGCAGATTTCTGGGGCTCCTTCTTGATGTAGCTCCATCACCTCCAGCACTGAGCCCCACAAATGCCCCCATCAGCCCCTCGAAACTCTGATCTCTCAAGTCATTGTGATCGTTGGGTTTTACTTGAGTTTCCCCTCCTCCTCCAACGTCCAGAAAGTGCTTCCCAGGAGAAAGCTGGACGGTAAGGCCCGCTGTGGTGGTTTCCTCTGTCTTGGTGACCGCGGTCCAGCACTGCGTGTTGTCCAATGCCAGAAAACAGCTCGTTTCACATTTGTCCAGCTTTCCTGCTGTAACATGTGCAGAGAGCCTGCCCCAGCTGCTCCGGCATGACCCGATGTGGCAGGTTCTTTTTCATTGCTTCTAAGGTCTTCTCTTTCTTGGACATATTTTTTAGTTGCATCACATGCATCTAGGTGTAGATTTCTCTTAACTTTGCTTACCTGATGCTCATCATGCTTCCTGTATTTGTGGACTGATGTCTTTCATTGGTTCTTGAAAATTCTCAGGAGTCATCTTCACAGATACTGCCTCTCTTCCATGGTCTTTTTTCTCTTCTGTGCACCTCCAGTCTGACCCTCTTGTTCTGCCCTCCTGGTTGCAAAACGCCTCAGTCACACTGTTCCATGCCTTTCCTCTTTGCGGTCCATTCTGGGCAATCCATTCCTGCCTGTCCTCAACTCTAAAATTCCCTCAACTGGGTCTCACCTATTTAACCTTTCTGTTGGGATTTTACTCCAACAGTTCATTTTGTCATAGTTTTATGGAGGTATGATTGATACACAAAAACTTGCACATATTCAATGTACACGACTGGATGAGTTTGGACATGTGCACACCTGTGATACCATGACCATCACCACAATTCAGCAAGTACATTTTTAAACAATGCTCTCTTTGGTCCTTTCCTGTTTTTTAATGTTTTTTGTTTGTTTGTTTCAAAGCAATACAGAACTCATAGAAAAGTTTAACAGAGTAAATTCTATGGGTCCACGCGGGGTGATGTCCTGGTATCCTGCCCAGGCTGGGACTCTCCGTGTTGCACTAGTCCCATGGGCAGAGGCCCTCCTTATTCTGCTCAGGTGACTCCTTACCCTGGCCTGCCAATAAACAAGGACATACTCTTCACCCTTTTGATCTCACTTCCCATGCTGGGCAGCCCTCTCGTGGGGCATGGGGTCTGATACTCAGATCTGGGTCAGCACGGCTGTCTCCACCTCCCCCGCCCCTGCCATGTCACCACCAGTGTCACCTAATGGCTTCAGGACAAGACTGTTTGAGGAGAAGGCTGGGAGGAAAAGGACAGCTACACGGCTCTGTGGTCACTGTGGGGTCTCCTCTTGGTTTCTCACTTTCACTCATTTCTTTAAACAGTTCATATTTTTTGTTCCCGTTAATTTTAATATCTGAGGTCCTTGGAAGTACAATCTACAGTTTTTATTTTTCCAACTCTCAATTACAGTGGTTTCTTCCCTTGTATTTCGTGATCTCTGATTGTAAGTTCACAGTTGGTTGATCTTAAACTGTGAAAAACATGGAAGCATAATTTGAGGAAGCCTTTCCAGGATCTCTGGCTTAATCTGGGAGCCTCATGTTCATACTCTCTCACCCCACCAGAGGACTAAGAACTTATTTCTTATTAGCAGTGCCAACAGGGTACCTTCCCTCGGAGAAACCTAACCTTTCTTATGTGCTCACGACTTACAGCTTAGGCCTTTTCTCCTCCCCCCCCCTTCTCTTTTGATCCCCTGGAGATTTAATTTCTAAAATCCAGCAACCCAACAAATTTTTTTCTGCAAAATCTGTTTTAGAGCAGGAGGGAGGGGCCCTAGACTTTTCAGTCCCTATTGACATAAGAGGAAAGCTTCTATATTCACTTTTAACTAAAAACAAAGCTGAACTTGTAAGATTTTCAGTGGGAGATGTATGAAATTGTAAGTGCCCACTAGGAGGTCTTCTTAGGTTTAACCATTTACACTCCTGTAATGCCACACCTGGCAGCAGCTTCATTTAAGAGGATAGAGAAGAAACATGTTGGGGGCAGGGCATTATCAGGTGCTCCTCCCTGCAGTCCGTATAGGCATGCCTGAGCTCCTGGCAGAGCTGCTCGTGACTCCCCAGCTGTCACTCAGGGTAAGATGGAGTAGGAGTGGCCCTGGCTCAGCAGTCTCAGACCGTGGGAACTGATACATCTCATAATAGTTACCTGAGTTTATCTTTTAGAGCCCCAAACTCAGTTAAAACAGAGCCTAAAGGCCTGGCTTCCTGACAGATGTTTAAAGATCATTCCGTTTTCTTCAGCCAGAAAAAGTGTACCAGCCAGAGTGCATCTTTAACAGGACCAATGATGTTTTATAACGCAGCTGACATTCTGACTCCATTAGGTTTCTAGGACAAGCTAAAAAGTCAACCCAAAGTGAAATCTGTCTGTTGAGAAGAAATGGGGTTTGTTAAACCTTTACTCACAGTAATTTATCAACATCTTCAAATATTCGGTGTCCATGCTCAAGTTTTTCCAGTGGGTGTCTTATGAAAAAATGTAGAGATGTGTGTCCTAGAGAAATTCATTTTTAGGTCATTCATAACTGAGATGGAGGTCTTTCCTCAATTATAACCTGGCTACAAAGTATCTGTGAGATTGTTTCATCTTTGGGTATTTGGTTTTTTGAATCATCCTTCTCAAGATCACCAGGATGTGTGTGTGTGGAGTATTAGATCACCAGTGAAACCAACCTGAAAAACATTTTCTGAGTTAGGAATTCCATCCTCCACAGTTCAAAAAGTAATGCAAGGTGATTAGAGCTTCAAGCCATTTGAAATCCGGATGTGCTGATGTGCTTTTTGACGGAGACTTAGTTATGCCGGGTGCTTACCAAGCTTATCGTTATTATTTTTTGCAGTGATTACATGCAGGCGAATCAAAACAACTTTTAAAATTGTCCTTTGGTTTTTATCTTTTAGATGAGAATCACTTACATTAGTTATTAATCCAGGAAAGCTTATTTTTTCCAAACATTTTATTATGAAAAACTTGGAACGTATGTAAAAGTTCAAAGAATTTTAAAGTTCACGGAGTCTCCCACTAAGGTTTTGTGACACGTCCACCTTCCCATGCAGGAAGCCACCTGCTGCCTGGACTGCGGCGGCCGTTTCCTAAGGGTGTCTTACCTCTCCACGCTGCCCATCGGCTCTCCTGCTGTCGGAGCCGTCTTCCTAAAACACAAATTTTACCATGTAACTTCTGCTGTTAGAGCCTTCTCATACGCCCAAAGCTTCAGGAAAATGCCCCCAATTCCTGGGTGCATCTGGCCCCGTCCCCTTTGCAGCTCACGGCTTACTTCCTCCTTCCTCCTCCAGGACGCTCTGCTGGCAGTTCTCGGTCCCTAGGAAGTCCTCTGACGTCTCTGAGTCTCCGCTCAGCCTCCTCTTTCTGCCCCGACGGCCCGTCTTTCCTTCCCCCGTGAGGCCCCACCTTCGCTGTCACTGAGCCCAGGCTGGCAGCTCGCGTGTACTCGACGACCCCACTGCATCCACAGCCCCCACACCCCAACCGCCAACGAGCACACAGGGCTCCCCGAGCCCCGTGTCCTTCCCTCGACGTCACCCACTGGCCTTTCTCGCTGCTCGGAAGCGCAAACGCCCACCGACTTCGGCGCTGCGCGGCTCAGCGCGTCGGGGCGGCACCTGCAGCCCGTCTCCGACGCGGGCCGCGCCTCTCGGAGTCCGCCCCGCCCCGGGCCTGGCGGCGGCGCCGGCCGGAAAGCGCGGCGCCAACTGCCGCAAAGCGCCGTGCGACAGAACCCGGGACCGGACTACGGCCGGCAACCGCTCGCGACGCCGCTGCGGCCCCTGCGGCTGCCGGAGTCGAGCGCGGCGGCTGCGCGCCTGCCCCCCCTCCGCGCTCGCCCTGCGTCCCCGGGGGCGGCCGGAGCCGCCGCGCCGCGGAGGCGGTCCGCGCCCGCCCTGCCGGTCGCCATCATCCCGGCGTGCACCGCGGCGGCGGCGGCGGCGGCGGGCGGGCCGGCGGCCATGTTGCGATAGTCTGTTGTTTTCTTCCTGCGGAGGAGCCGGGCCGGACTGCCCGAGACCGCCGGCCGCCTCCCCCTGTTCCCGGCCCCGGCCCCCAGCCCCCCGTCCTCCGGCGCGCGTTCCCGGGCTCCGGCCGGCCGGCGGCCCACCGGCCGGCTTGGCGGGGCGACCCTGAAGGCCGGGCCCGCGAGCACCATGGCGGCCGCCCTGGGAGCGGGCGGAGGAGCCGGCGCCGGAGGTACGTGAGCCGCCCCGCGCGGGGGACGGGCCGGGGCTCCCTCGGCTCGCGTCGCCCTGCCTCCCGCGAGCCTCGTGCCGGGGCGCGCCTGCACGGGGCCCCGGGCGGCGAGGCCGCGGCCTTGGACCGGCCGTGCGGCCGAGCGGGGTTGTGGGGGGGCTCTGAGCCGCTCGGGTGCGCTCCCGGCCGGGGGAGAGGGCCCCCCGGGCAGGCGTGCGGGCCAGGGCGGCGTTTCGGAAGGTGGGCGTCCCTGCGGAGGAGCCCCAGGTCGCGGGTCTGCCGCTGCGGGAGCCCCGCGCGGGGCCGGGGGCGGCCGTTGGTGGCCCTGAGCGGCTCGCGGGGACGCAACGGGCAGGGCGCCTTGAGGTCCCGAGTCCGTTCCCTTGCGTGGCTCCTTCGGGTTCCGCGCCTGACGAATTCCGGGGAAAAGTCGCCGGCGAGATTCCGTTTTGTTGACTGAGGCGGGTTTTGTGTTTCCCCCTTCGACGCGGGGAGTGCTTGACAGAGGCTTGGAGGGTTGCGCGGCCGCGCTGGGAAGGGCGAAGCGGCGTCGACCGGCGCATTTGGGGAGCGTTAGCGAAGCCTCACCGCAGCGTCCACTCGCGGGGTCTCGTTGAGCCGCGCTCCCTTGTGCGTGCGCTGCGGTCGCCCTGCTCGCCGCTGCGGCCTGAGGGTTGGAGCGCGTGTGCGGCGAAGCGGACACGGAACGCAGACGCGCCGCTTGGGGCGGTGCGGTTCTCCCCGCCGCCTTTCTGCCGCCTGGTTTTTCGCTTGCTCCAGGGCAGGCTGTCCGGTTGAAAGCTGGAGATGCGCGGCGCCCCTGCTCGGCGCTCCCTGGGGGTCAGAGCCGGGCGGCGCGGGAACTCCCGGCCCGGGGCGGTCTTCGTTAGGGCGGGCACGGCGTGCGCGGGCGCTTCCCCGGAGATGGCTGCTGGCGGGCCCTGCCAAGGGACCGGTTTCTCCTTTGTAAGCTGGTCAGTGTCCGCGAGCACAGTTCACGCCAGGAAAGGCGTTTCGGTGTCACTGAGGGATTCGAGTCCCGAAAGTTCGAGACCTGCTGTTCCAGAGGACTCGGCGGCTTTGTCCTGGATGTTTCGGAGGCTTCCCTGCCGGTTCCTCGCAGGCACCTGCTTCCCTGGCTCTGAGACCCGAGCCAGAACCCTGGCGAGGTTTGCGCGTTCGGCGTGAGCCGGCGGCTCCCAGGGCCTCCGCGAACCCACGGCCCCCTGCTCGGCTCTAGGAGCCCTGTTCCCGCCCCTCCGCCGGGCCTGCTGGGGCGCCCCTCGCGTCTAAGGCTTGTCCCCCCCGTTGTTCGCCCTTTTGTTCTGCCTCGTCTTCTTCAGAGCACTGATCCCAGCTTGTAATTTTATTTTGTTATTTGCTGCTTTTTTAAAAAAAATCTTCCCCCTAGTCTGTAAGCCCCATGAAGACAGGATTGCTGCCCGTTTTACTTGCCACTTAGTCCAAGTTCCTGGCACATTGCCTACGTTCAACAGGTAGTCTGACAAAGGAGTGAGTTAAAGTATGAAATATTTTCCTACGAATCCTTTTGTACCCTTCCCTGTGCACATGTAAATTGAACATTTTTAGCTTTGTGGACTTTTACGGTACCAACAGAATCATGCAGTATTCTGCAGTTGGCCTTGTTCACTTAAAAGTAGGTCCTGAGGGTTGGGGGGGCACCTGGGTGGCTCATTCGGTTAAGCATTTGACTTCGGCCCAGGTCGTGATCTCAGGGCCCCGGGATCGAGCTCCGCAGGGGGCTCCCTGCTCAGCGGGGAGTCTGCTGCTCCCTCTCCCTCTGCTCCGCCCCCTGTGCGCGTGCTCTCGTTCTCTCTCTTTCAAATAAATAAATAAAACCTTAAAAAAAAGTAGGTCCTGGGGATCTTCCATGTCAATAGGTGAGAGTTTTATGGGTCTGCTGTTGAGCATTTAATCATTTTTTTATTGATGGCCGTTTCAGTTATTTCTGCTTTTAAACTGCTGTGGAAAATACTGTGCTAAACCGCTGTAGACACAAGTTAGTGTGCCTATGCAGTTTCCTGGAGGATACATACCTCTAGGAGCGGAAATACTGTGTTGCAAGTTACATATATGTAACATTTTGACAGCTATTGAGAGTTGTCCTTAGAAAAGAGTTGGTACCACTTTATCCTCCCTCAGTAGTGTGTGGGAGTACCCCATTTCCCATGCCCTTTCTAAGAATCTTTTTAACTTTTGTTCATCTTGGGACAGAATAGCCATACTGTTGCTATATTTTCCTGATCTACAGAGAAATTAGGCATTTTTTCATACATTGTCTGTGAATTGCATGTTTATATCATTTGGCTTTTTTTTTTATTGGGTGGTTGATCTCTTTGTCATTATTTATATATTTTTCATTCTTTGTATATTTTATCAGGATTATTAACCCCCTTTTTAAAAATTGTGCTTGTCCTATAAATAACTTTGTTTTAAACTTTTCACTATAAGGAAGTTTAAAATTTTTACTCTGAAATACGTCACTTCTTTTTGTAAGTTTTTTTTTTCCTTTTTGTAATGGTGTCTCTATGTCAAGAGTTCCTCTGTGCTTTTAACATTTTATGATTCTGTGCTTTTTTATATCTAGCTTTAATTCCATATGGAGTTTTGTTTTGGGTGTTGTGTGCTTTTGGGACCTATAACAGTTCTAATACGACTTATTGAATTCTCCCGTCTTTTCCGTCTTCGTAATATATTAAGTTCCCATTAACAGTTTTTTAGAATTACTATTTCATAGTGTGTGTACATATATATGCGGGTATGTAGGGGTATATGTTATGTATATATGATGGCATGTTCTTTTTCAGAAGTTTCTTGATTAGTCTATGTGTTTAAAAAAGTGTACTTCAGAATCATCAGTCACGTTCTATAAAGAATTCTACTGGAATTTTATTGAGATTGCATTGAGTTTATTTACATAATTTGAGAGTGTTTGATATTTTTACAATATTAACAGGAGTTAATCCTGTCAGGCTTTTCTTTTTTGTCAGTCATCTCTACCAAGTGTTCATTGAGTACCTGTTCTGTGCTGGGCACTAATCTAAGAGGCTGGGGTACATAGTGAATATACTAGAGATCCGTACCCTTATGGAACTTATATTAAGTAAATTTTTTTTTTTTTTTAAGGATTTATTTATTTCAGGGAGAGAGCCTGTGCCCCAGGGAGGTTGGGAGGGGTAACTCCATGCAGGGCTCCATCTCCAGACCCTGAGATCATGACCTGAGCTGAAATCAAGAGCTCAGACGCTTAACCAACTGAGCCACCCAGGCGCCCCAGTAAAATTTTCTTTATGTAGTTTTTTGTTTTATTCTTAAATATTTTATATTTGTCACTGTAGATGGCGTAGTTTTTTATCTTACTACATTCTCACATTTGTTATTGGTCTATTATAGAAAAGCTTTTTAAAAATATAATTGAATTATATATAGCTGGTTTTTTGAACATTGTTTTAATAGTTTGGTACTTTAGATTTTCTGGTTAGTCACACCTGCAGAGTCTTCTGTTCTGGTATTTATAGCTCCCATTTCTTTTTTTTCTACTTGTCTCGGAGGCTTTCACTGTCAAGTCCTCCAGTATGATGTTGAAGAATAGGGGTGGCAAAAGGCATCTGTATCTTTTCATCTTGTTCTGAGTTTTAACGAGTGTTCTTTTAATGTTTTGCCATTAAATACGGTGTTTGCTATAGGTTTCTGATAGTTATTGCTTTTTAGCAAGGAAAATTGTTTTTTGATTTGGGTTTTTTATTTTATCAAAGGTTTTTTCTGCATCTGTTGAGGTGATCTATGAGACCCCTTCTTTAATCTCTTAATGTATTGTATTGATAGATTTCTAGTGCTGAACCAACCTTGCATTCTCGGTCTCAAAACCTTCTTCATGCTTTGTTCTTTTTAATATATTATTGAATTTCATTTTAGGATTTATCTGTGATCCTAAGAAAGATCAGATTATAGTTTTTTCCCTTTGTACTTGTGTGTGCATGTGTGCTATCCTGTTTTTTTTTTTTTTTTTTAATGAAATGCTGGCTTCCTAGAATGAGTTGTCAAGTTTTCTGGGACAGTGTAAAAAATCTCTGTATTAAATCTAAGTTGGAAGAACTTTTGTCTGCAAAGCCATTGGGTCTGGTTGCTCTTTATTTTTCAGTTTCTTCTACCATTATTGGTCTATTTAGCTTTTTAGAAATCTCTGGGTAATTTTTTTTTAAGTTTGTTTCATCTCTACACCCAAAATGGGGCTTGAACTCATGACCCCGAGATCAAGAGTTGCATGCTTTTCTGACTGAGCCAGGCAGGCGCCCCTCTGTGGGTCAGTTTTGATAAATTTTTCTGGAAAAATAATTTTTTTTTTAAAGATTTTATTTGACAGAGAGAGACAGTGAGAGAAAGAACACAAGCAGGGGGAGTGGGAGAGGGAGAAGCAGGCTTCCCGTGGAGCAGGGAGCCTGATGGCGGGGCTCGATCGCAGGACCCTGAGATCATGACCTGAGCCGAAGGCAGACGCCTAACGACTGAGTCACCCAGGCGCCCCTGGAAAAATAATTTGTTATGTTTATATTTTTGAATTAATGTACGGTTCAACACTACCATTTCTAGTGTGCTAAAGGTAAATTTTTTTGAGGCTCGTGTGTGTGAACAAATTCTTTATTCTTATACTTGATTGATGATTTGGTTGGGCCTAGAATTCTAGACTTGAATTCATTTTCCTTAGATTTTTGGTGGTGGTGTTGTGTTGTTTTTCTGGCTTCCAGTTCTACTGTTGAAAAGTCTGATGGCATTCTGATTCCTTTGTATGTGACCTTTTCCGCTCCCTGGAGGATTTTAACAATTCCTCCTCAGCGTTCTAAAATTTCATTAGCCTAGGTCTTTTTATTGTGCTTTGCGTTTGGTGGACACTTCAGTGTGGAAATATGCATCTTCAGTTCTGGGAGATTTTCTTGTATTTTTCTCCCTTTCATTTCCTCTGTTCACGCCTTCTGAAACTC